CAATTTTTTTGTCGGTGCTCCAACGTGCCAAAACTCGAGTTTTGGCACATGCCTGCCCCGAATTTGCTCCACCCCGCGCGGCGGCAGACGCACGTGCTGCCAACAACAACAACAACAACAGCAGCAGCAACAGCAAGCTTGAACCTTATACGACAACGACAGCATCTGCAAGAAACTCAGCTAGGCAAAAGCCCGAGACGACTTCCAAACTCCTTCAACGTTCAGGTTCAAGGCCGCACCTGGGTTTCTAAGAATGACAGTACTTAAAGGTTCATGGGACTTAGTAACCAGGGTTATAATAAGGTAACTTAGTAACCAGTGTTATCAATAAGGTGACTTAGTAACTAGGCTTATATAAGGTAACTTAGTAACTAGGGTTATACATAAGGTAACGTAACCCCTGTTAAGGGTACTTCTATCTGTACTTATTAAGTCCCATGAACCTCCAAGTACCTTCTGAAGGGTTTTTAGAACCAGGATTCTGGGCGTTAAGTTGCCTGTGCCATGAAGCAAACCCTCAAGCCCCTGTGAACCCGAAACGCAAGCCGAAACCTCCGAACCCTAAACCCCTGAAAACCAGACCTAACTGGGACCCTTATGAACCCTAAACCCCAAACCCTAAGTAAGCTGAACCCGAAACTAAATCCTCCATTGGACCCTAAGCTCAAAACCCTAAACTGAACCCGAAACTAAACCCTCAACTGGACCCTACTCTAAGCCCCAAGCCCTAAACTGAACCCGAAACTAAAGCCTCAACTGGACCCTCAACCCTAAGCGCCAAACGTAGGGTTTGGGCATCCGAAAACTCGAAGAACCAATTTTCATGACCTTGCCTTTACACTTTACACCGTAAACTCCTAACTTCCCTAAACCCTACTCTAAGCCTAAACCCTACTAAACCCTAAACCCTAAATCCTAAAAGTTTAGACACTTGCTATTACACGCACGAACTCCTTAAGTGAGGGCTTGGGGCCCTGAGGCTTCGAGCCCGTGTCTGATTCGGAAAGAACCGGGGCTTAAGGTTCCGGTTCTGGGGTTTAGGGTTTGAGGAGCTAGAGTTTTAGGATTTCAGGGGTTCGGGGCTTCGGTTTTAAGGCTATTTCAGAAGCTCAGGGCTTTGCGCTCAGGGCAAACCCTCGGGATGTTGGTGCCAAGGCACCATTTCGAGGCTGCCGGACTGGACGGCGTAGTGGATAGCTGACCAGCCTTTATAGGTAGGGTGTTGATTGGAGTAACCCTAAACTCTAAACCCTAAACCCCTGAACCCTAAACCCTGAACCCTAAACCCCCAAACCCCTGAAACCTAAACCCTAAACCCTAAACCCTAAACCCTAAACCCTAAACCCCTGAACCCTAGACCCTAAATGAGGACTTATGACCTGCTTACTCAGTCTCTCAGCTTATCCCCGCAGTTTCAGGGTTCAGGGCTTCCGGATGCGGGCTCGGGATCTCGTCTTAGGGTTGAGGGCAAGCTTAAAGGGTTTAGGGTTTAGGGTTTAGGGTTTAGGGTTTAGGGTTTAGGGTTTAGGGTTGAGGGCAAGCTTAAACGGTTTAGGGTTTAGGGTTTAGGGTTTAGGGTTTAGGGTTGAGGGTT